AAAAACAAAATGAAAGCTGAAGCAAGTGAGAAAGAAATATTTTGTTAAGCAGGGTTATCTTTTTTCTTATGTTCCAGAACTGTGCCTCATGCCCTGAATGGGGTACAGAGGGGCTTTAAACCTTCAGATCCTAAATTTGAAAAGACCTGATAGTGTTTTGCATCAACCATTTCTCTAGAGATCAGGATAACTTCTTTTAAAATGCAATCTTTAATAGGACATATTTAAAAGACATAAATAAGTACAGAAAATAATATGAGCAGCTTTTGTCACCGATAGTAAACAAACATTGTTCTACCACATTGGCTTCAGGTTTTTCTTTTTAAATAAAATAGCAGGGTAACATGAAAATGCACATTCTTCTTGTATCTGTTACTCTTCTCCCATGCCCACTTCTGGACCTTGCTACCCAGTCTTTTGTGGTTTGCTTTGTAGCAAGTACACAATGCCCATAGAAGTGACACTGCACATAGCTCCCCATAAACTTGGCTTTATTCTACTCGTTACTAGGTTCATCTTTGATTAGTTCAAAGATGATTTCTTAATGCTATACTGCCTCACATTTTCAGTCACCTTGGTCGATATAATAAAAGAACTGTGAATTCAGAGTGCTTCTAATGGAAGTAAAAGCAGATTTTTAACTAAAACATGATTATTTCTGCTTCATAATGGAAATGGAAATAGAGGTCCTGAAAAATCAGTGAATAATATGTATGAGTGTTTGCAGCAAAAGAAAAATATTTACTTTGTTTCCTTATCAAGGAGGAAAATATCCAAGCTTGTCAATCTGTACCTTGGGTTGCCAGAGAAAGGTAGGACCCTGAGCAGAGATGACATATTAGAGTGACTGCCTGCACCCTAAGGATGAGGTCTACAGAGACATTAAGCCACAGAGTGGAAGAGGCCAGAGTGCGATGAGGTTATGAGCCACAGCTTGGGCAGGGAGGTAGAGCTAGCAAGGGAAAAGGGACAGGCATGAAAGGGAAGGCACAGACAGCAGGGTCGTGTGGAGTGCTTGACAGACTGACGAGACACTCATGAATAGCACCCAATTTTAACAAGAAGTTCTATACAGAGCATGACAAAGAACAAAGAAATGGAGCATGGATTTTTAAGGTTTCAAGAAGTATTCTTCCTAGTCTACCAGTTTCAAACAGACCCATCTCATTTTAAAGGAAAAATAATCAAACACCAATTGTACAGATCCAAGGATATCTTCATTCTGCATTTCCTTAGACTGATTTAGGTGAGTCCACTATAGATACAGATTGAAGGACGAGGCACTTACCTGGCTCTGCCAACCAGAGCTCTGCCAGGCACAACAACCATGCCCACATTCTGTAAGAAGCACTTGCCTATCAAACCATATAAACATATGAAAGTACAAGCAGTGCCTTAATACTAGAGAATTATTCTCAGTAATATGATTATTCTTTACCACATTGCTGCTAGGTAGACAAGTTTCAACAAGAAAAGAGAGAATAAAAGACTAAGTTGAAGCTTACACTGGTATAATGATCCAGAGAACAGATTCGCATCTTGAATTCTCTGTGTGTTTGCATGGAGTACACATGATTGCAGACAAATACAGAGTTCTACAACAATAAAAACATTGTTTTGTTCTAAGTTGTCCCAATTTCAGATAATATGAATAAAAAAACTCACCATATCTGTATCTGAGACAGGGCCAAAACTGGTCACATAGATGTTAGTGTAGACTTCAGTAATGGTATCTAATGTAAGAAGAAGAAATCATATATAAATTTTATGTAGTAAGAGGCATAAAAAGGAATTTGAATATATAAAAAGATTAGAAACATGGATAACAGCTTTAAGATAATTTACTTTAGT